CTTCCTTCCTTCCTTCCTTCCTTCCTTCCTTCCTTCATTCATTCAAGCCAAGCAACAATATGGTGAGAATAAGGTCAGAAATACCTGCATAAGAACAAAAAGTCCGGCAAAGAAAACCAAGGTGGTCCATTCGACATTTTCCATCACCTCTTCGATGTTTTGAATGTCTGCGAGAACAATCAGGGAAATGGCGCCAATGACAGCAATCCAACCTGAAAACGCAAATACAATATTGCAAATGTTTACTTAGTTTTCGCTTTTATTCTCACCTTTATTTCTATTCCTATTTCCCTTGTTGTTTTTCTTTTTACAAAAAATACTGACTATGAATACTTACCGATTGCAAAATCGAGATCTTTTATGAAAGATTGAAGGAAGAAGAACGCAACAACAACTGAAATTATCAAACCACTTTTAATAAGAAGTGGATAGTCTGTGATTTTGTACTGCAAATGAAACACAAATTTTTGATCAATATTGAATAGGGAAGGCGTGCATCTCTTCCCAAGAGAATAAAATGACCACCACAGCCGCCATGTTGGATGATCGAATAAAAAAAAAACAAAGACCAAAGTTAGCCAACCGGTTGTGTCAGTCATCCAACATGGCGACCATGAGTATCCGGCACCAACCTTGTTTTCTAATTCGTGTAAATTGTCTTTGAAAACTTGTTCTCTTGTCCTAAAAAAATAATTATAATAAAGAATTAGGATATGCTCATTATTTAAATTGAATCCCAATTTGGGATGGCAATTTTCCATGCATCAGTTCAATGGTAAAGCACAAAACATTTAATCGAGGCTTTAGGGTGTCCCAAATTAAACACTGTAGCCTCGAAGCGATTAGTTGGTCTGCTGGTCATAGCAAGGGGTTAATCATCTACGGTCTAGGGGCCGACTAACCCCTCCCTTAGGCTTCGGCCGAGCTTCCTGATCAGTCTGTAAATCCCGGATAGCGGTGTTGGGGCCGAAATCTCCAGCATAGCCGTAAATGCTTCGCGCTGCCATACGACGGTTCAGCACTCGATGTCTGGAAGTATGGTCCTAATTGTTTTCGTTAAATATAGAGATAATACCACACTTCTAATTTCATTTCACCCGCAAAGAAAACTGAGAAAACTTTTACCAGTCTATTTCCGATACTCTTTTCGTCTCCGCAGCGCGCGCACCGATAAAAGTGGGTCCAGCTCTGGACTGGACTCTCAATTTTATTTTGTATTTATATTTTCTACTCTTAATCCAATTAAATGCCCGAAACACGGCGTGGACACTATGTCACGTCACTGCCAGACCAATCACATTGAACGAGAAGCAAAGCAAAATTCTATAAAACATCACGGTCGTAGCAGGGCACCAATACGGCACCGACTTTTTCAGCCATACGAAACCTGYTCTATGTTGAACGTTGAGTCTGAAAGCTCGATATCCCATAAATCAATTAAAGGCAGCAAAGTCCCACTACAGAAGCGTCTAGCCTATAAAAACGGGCTTAAACTAAATTCATAAATAAATTAAATTTAGCAGTGGCATTCCTAAAGTGCAGCTATTCATCCACTAAAATTCCAATTGGAATTTATGAGTTGATTTTTAAGGGGAGGACCGGAAAACCCGGAGAAAAAACCTTCGAAGCCGGAACAAGAGAGTGACCAACAAGCTACTCTACTCACATACGACACCGAGACCGGGAATCGAACCAAGGTCGCATTGTGGTTAGAGGCGAGCGCTCTCAACACTACCCAACCCTTACCACCCTAAGCCGGGGTAGGCAATATTTGAATTTCAGGAATTTCGTGATGTAACTGATCCCGTGTTGAAAAAAAGATAGCCACTTATAACGTACTGGTGGCGTTCCATATTTCGTATGGTGTTCTCCAGATATAGGGTCTTTTGTAACAGGAGAAGTTTGACTGTCTTTTCCTCGGTAGATGAAATTGGTACTCGATCTGCTGTACGACGCCAAATCTCTGCTTCTCTTTTGAGCTCTATAGTGGTTAAAATAAAATAAACAAGACATCTTTGCATGAAACTTAAATCAAGATATCCGTCCGTACGTCCGTCCCTCCCTCTGAGGGAAGTAACGTTTTCGTTCATTGAATAAAAATGTGAAACTGAAAAATTATGGAAAGACTGAATGGAAAGAAATATTTATAATTTTACATTTAAGTAACCAACACAAAATATATAGTGATTTTTTAGCCTGTAGCGTGCAGGAAGCCCAAGAAAATGTCTTGTATATACACTAAATGCGCGAGTATTATCAAAAAAAATAATAACACAAAGGTTATTCCAACGTTATTACGAACGAATTTACGATATTTTAAAATCCATTCATTTACTGTATACAAGAGGATTGCATGGGCTTCCTGTGTTTAACCAGAGTTAAAGTCGAGCTGCACGCAAACTTTAACATACCTGCTACTTCTGGTGAATCCAGATTCTCAATTTGAATTGGTATGTAAAGAAGTCTGCATGTAAAGAGATCAGGGAATAAAATTTAGATCAGTATATATGTTGCTGATCTACCTTATGGGGAAAATAGGCCGTTTGTGTCAATAATAGCGTTATCTCATTTTATTACCATAACTTAAATGCTTCGCGAGTTTTCTTTCGTATTCAAGTTCGTATTCCATCATGAGAAAAGTAAGACAACTGGTGCTGAAAACCGAACTAAAGAAAGCGTGCAAAGGATTCCGGTAGTCGTAGTGCAATAATGCAAGTGTCCTATAGAGGTTTTGCATCATCACGTGATGGCAGCCATGTTAGATGGCAAGAACAATACGATCGCTTTACATGAGAAAGAATTCAAATCCCAAGAGCAAAGGGATTTTATTGTTCTACCATTTAACCACAGGCAGCCCAAGCTGCATTATGGGCTCGTGCACGTAATGGTGCAAACTTCTATTGGGCCAGAAAACCTGGAGTAATATCTTACCTTATAAATATGTAGCCGGTTATCATGCAAAAGACAATGCCAATTATTAGATGCTCAGTAAAGGTAGAGAAACCGATGTTCTATAATGGAAATTAATCAATTATTTTGTTAGTGTTCTTATGATTCAACCCCTAATTCTACTCGGTCCAGAACAAAGAAGGCACTTCAAAAAAAAGCTGAAGCCGTGCGCAAGTATACTCTGTTTGCGGCGTAATTTAAAACACTCAAGTGTGTTCAAGACACTAGTAGATTGAGCCTGTGCCATGGTCACATTATTAGAGCAACAAGCTAAACTCAAGACTTACCGCTTCCATGATTCGATGGTGGGAAACAAGAATAACGTTGGGTGGATCTCCAATTGCTGTACAAAAAATATATGTATAAGAAACAAATAAATAAATAATTCTTAATGCCTGCCATCGCGGTATGGAAATGATAATTACAACTACTGAACCAATCGCAGTGCGCGAAGGGTTAATGTGCGGATACTCCAACCAGGACCACTTTAATGATAAACTAGTATCATTAACCAATCATATTGCGACGTTTAGTTCAATATTTTTAACCAGCCAATCAGATAGCGCATCGATATAATAAGAGCGTGAGAACGTGATAATCTGATTGGCTAACACCGTCATCAGTTCAATCACTGTCTAGTTTACTGTTATCTGATTGGTCAGTTTTATTCAAGTGGTCCCGGTTAGTGTGTCCGCACGGTAATGTGATTTTCTATGTAAAATTCAGATCTACAACTGACTTTATTTATTTTCCTTTGCGTATTTTTTTTTTCCTGTGTATCTACCATTCTTCTTTTGCGCAATCAATATTGGTGTGTACTCCATTCTCATCTCTGGGGTTTCAAGTTCGATTCCTGGACTTGGCACCATATTTAGTGAGTTAAGCTTAGGTCTCTCCCTTGATTTGAGGATTTTTCTCTGGATTCCCCATTCTTCCTCCCTCTATCAGCCCGACATTGTTCCAAGGTTTGATTAATATTTTTTGTTTCAGTGCAGTTTCTCGTCAATCTTTGTACCTAAACATCTATATACAGCTAATGTTTATCATGACGTGGTTCCATACCAGTTGCTGTTCCTCCTATATTGGAGAATATGACCTCTGCTATCAGGACGTATGTTGGTTCTAGGTTTAAAACCTGACACAGTCTGAAAAAAATAATCGATATAAGAACTAATATTGTTTTAAATCATCATCATCATCATCATCAACTCCACAACCATGCAAAACCACCACCACCATCAACATCACCACCATCATCATTATTGTCACCATCCCCATCCCCATCCCCATCCCCATCCCCATCACCATCACCATCACCACTATCATTAACAAAAACTTCACAATCTTCTTCAATTGAGATACCTTATTGTTACAGGTGTGAGCAGAAGAATCGTTGTTACATTATCCTTAGCAAAAAAAGAAAAGAGCGCTAGGTTAAGAAGACCTTCAGAGATATTTGACGAAGGGAATATATAAGCCATCAGTCCGATGCGAAAAACATGACTGGCATTTAAAAACATAAGCTTTATTTAAAGAGGGTGACGTATTAACTCAGTGAGTTATCTAACTTACGGCCCTCACTCTAACTTTCGGCCCTCACGTATCGTATCTCAGGAGCGTACGTTTCACAGTCATACGAAAACTACTCTAATAGGAAGAACAAATCGTGACTCACTAAAAATGCGGACACAACCCCAGTGAATAGACACAGCAGTGTTATGAGTCGCCATACGTGTCCTTTGGAGACCTTGTAAGCCTGTGTAAATAGAGGTGGAAATTTGAGTTAGTTGAACCAAAAGTAATAACTAATAAACTACAGGCGCGGGTCATTTTTTCATGGTCTGGTAAGGGGAGGGTGGGTGTTTGTCTGACAACAAAGCTACAATACACGTAATGTTTTCCCATTTCAGATCACGTGTTATTCTCTTGAGAATAAGATTTGTTTAAGTTGTTTCCTTATTCATGTGTCTTCTCGTGCACAACCGTTAAAGAAAGAAATAATACTCTAGGGATTGGCACATGGTTGGAAAGGGGAAAACATTACGCCCAAAGTCAAGAGATCTATTACAGCCGTTCAAATTAGACACCTGGACCTCTCCCCTTGAGAGACCCTCATGCACAACCTTTAAACAAAGAAATGATACTCTAGGGAATGACACGTGCTCTGAATGCGAAAACATTCTTGAAGTAAAGATACCTGGACCTCTCCCTTGACAGATATCTCCATGATGTAAAATTATTGGTAAATTTACTCACCTTTAAAGCTACATAGTCAAAGAACCCACTTCTTGCAAATACTGCAACCAGAATCATCTAAAAAGGATTTAAAATTGTTTCACAATGGTTTTCTCACCCAATATACAACTATTATTTACCTTGTTTTTTTAACAGCACACACATTAAACATGTAATCAGTCAATTAGTGAGTCAGGTTGTGTGGCTTATGAAGCAAAAAAAGTCAGAATCGCTGTCTACTTACCATGCCAAACAGCAAGCTTAGTGTCTCCCACTGAATCCACATCAAGACAGTTTCTAACTTCGGTCTCTATCATGAAAAAAAAACAAGGTTTTTCAGGGTACCAGGACGTCTAGCTGCTACAGTATCTTAATTGGTTCTTAAAGACATAGCACAGTAAAAGTAGGGGAAGGGGAGACGGTTCTTTTCTTCCTTCTCCTTCAATTTGATTGCCTTGCCACTGAAAACAATCTCGGAAGCCTATCACATCCAGCTGGTTTTTGTAAAAGCTACTTCAGGTATCTTAACACCAACTCTTTGTAATCTTTATGTGTCTCAATATAATTAATCCTTTAAACTTTTGATTGATCCAGGGAAAGGGAGGGGATGGGAAGGAAGGAATGATGTCCTCTATCTTTGGTTTCTACTTCTCCCTCTTCATCTTCCCCAAAATTCCTATTACATTGATTGGTAAAATTCTCAGAGACACATTCAGTGAAAGGGAAGGGGTCAAAGTAGCTTTTTTTTCCCCCACTCCTTATTCTTCTACTATTGCCTATGATGATGCAACAGTTATACAATGTCATTTACTTGCAACCTATGATCATGCCGTGTACATGTTGTAGTAAAAGAGCTAGAGCTTTCTGTGGATATCATGCAATAATTAAATTCAATGTGTTTTGCACTCAATTACTTCATATCCAGTTGGTCTCAAGACTGCTCAGAATGGCTGTTGCTAGGGAACATGTAAACAAACTGACATGCATTACCTTATTGAGATAGGTCAAAACAGCCAGTGTAGAAAGTGCTCCAAGCATGGCTGCTGTAGTTCTGTGAACAAGCTAATAAAAACAAAGTTGAGGGAAAAGTGTCATTTAGTCTAACCTTTCCTATTTAAATGAGATGTCCTCTTTACAAAGTAAAAGTAATGCAATAAAATCTCAAAATTTTTTGTGTTGAATTTGAAGTTGAATTGACCTTTTTAGCTTGGACATAATGTTTTCCCATCTCAAACCATGTGTCATTCCCTTGAGTATCATTTCTTTATTTAATGGTTGTGCATGAGAAGAACATAAATACAGATAAATCTCAAACATAGAATGTTATTTCCAAGAGAATGACACATGGTTTGAAAGGGGAAAACATTTTGTCTAAGGTAAAAAGGTCTACTAGTCTTGTTTGTTATGTTAACTCCCTTGATTGCTATCAGTGGTTTCCTCCAAGAACTCATTTTTATTCCCCATATAAAAAATCATTACTTGAGTTGATTTTTACAATCTTGGGGGGGGGGGGTCGTGCTATAAATACCTCAAATATGATCAAGATGTACACTCCAATTAAGATCGTGAAGCCTATGGCAACCTGGTTAAAAATATATCAGGAAATAAACATTGAAAAAACGTTTTCTCCCCATCAGCAGTAATATTAATGCATGTCCCCATTGAATCAAGTGTATGCACCTGTAAATACTCATATTAGGACTCTCAGCCCCTCAGATTCTCAGCAGATCAAGGATTTTTTCTAGGTGGGGGGGGGGGGGGGCAAAATCCAGAATTTTTGTTTTAGGAGGGTTGAATCCTTTGCTCACAAACTCAAACACCAATAATGCAGTAGATATCAGCTCATCTAGGCAGGGTGGGCTTCCCCTGCACCGCTCCCCTAGATCTGCCCCTGGATTGGCTAGCAAAGTAATTGACTATAATAATAAGCAACTTTACCTGAGTATCTTCAGTTGTCGTCTCAYTGAAATAAACCACAGACATGGCTGTATAGAATTGTGAAGGGGACTCAAGCCTCAACACATATTTGCTTTCATTTGTCCTAAAAATAATATTTTATAGCAAAAAATGGAATTTATGACTGTGAAAAACTTGAAATACAAAGTGATGTGCAATCATAATCATTGTTATCCCATTGTATAAGCAATCTTATTAGTTGAATGATCGGTTTAATGCATGTGTCGTTAGTTCCATACTCTGACAGTTACTGTGTGATAAACATCTCATATGAAAATTACTCTGACTAAATGAATACCAAATATTATGATTATTATTTAGAAAAAGATACCTAGCAATACTCGCATTTCAATGACCTTGTATAGCACTATATCAAATAGGTAAAAAATGGGGCTATGCTTTTAAAACAACTATAAGCCATGTTTTGACCATGCATCACATGACTGATGGCCAACACTGCTGTCAATAGGCTGTCAGCCAATGTTGCCTAACATTCAGTCCACTGTTGGCCAATGTACAGCCAAAAGGCAGGTGATTTTCGACCGACATGTGTACGCTGGTAATAAAGTTACCAAATCAGAGCTTTTGTTTTATTTGAATTATTTTATATTGGATGTAAAGAAGGCATTAATGAAATACATTTGACTCACATGCCAGCACCTTGCATGGGAAACCTGTATTTTTTCAATACAGGAGTTTCTTCACACTCCCCTTTTGTTGAATTTATGTCCAAAGAAAAGTTCTTGGGCTGCAAAAGGAAATGAACAATAAACATTAATGAGTTACTTAAAACCATTCTTATTAATTAAGAAAAACACTGTCATGTTCTTAAGTGATTAATTATAGTAAATAATCATCACCTTTGGCTTAGAGAGAAACCCTGATTCTGTTGATGAAGCTATGCCAATTGTTACGAAATCCAAAGAGGATGGGTCTGAGACATCATCTAATTAATTCACAAGAAAAAAAATTGACAATGATCATGTATTGCTTTTCTAATGGGGGGAGTCAGAATGCCACCACTCCCTGCTCACCTCTGAGGTCCAGGGTTCAAATCCCAGTCACCCCATGCGAACATGAGCTGAGTTGGTTGGCTCTCTTTCTGACTCCAAGGGTTTTCCAGCCCTCCGTTTTCCCTCCCTACTCTCAAATCAACCCTAAATAATTCAAACTGGTTAGAGCTGTGCTCCGGTGTCATATATGGATCTGTATAGCGGCTGCCAGAGGCGCCTTCACATGCTTTCAGTTCGACCCCGTTGAGCTGCACCACTGCTGTACTTGTGGTGGTGATTAGAGATAGCAAATGTTTTTGGATGATATTTGAAATTTGAAAAATAATATGAGAAAATCAAAACAAGGAATTTAAATTAATTCATTATCTAATTTAATTTTTCTTTAAATCAATAGTTAAGATCAGCTACATGTAGAAAGATTTGTTGCTTAATATTGGTAGTTTTATAAACCCACAAAGTGACAACTTGTGGACAATAGTTCTTATTCATTGTGGTGCAATGTTGAGGATAAGATTCGTTGTTTGAGTTGTATCCCAATTCATGTGCCAAGCAGGCCCATAGCTAGGATTTTTGTTGGGGGGGTGCTAATTTACAAAAAGTGGACCAACCATATACTTTATTTTTTAAAAGTCCCATAAGACGCATAGGTATAGATAAATTATTAAAGTAAAATTGATTTTTTTTTGCTTAGTTTTATGTGAAAATATCATACCAGCCAAAATCTCACTTGCTTAAAAAGTGGACCTTTAGCTCGCATGGGGGGGGGGGGGGGGGCGCCCCCCCCCCCCCCCCCCCCCCCCACGAAAGGCCTGCCAAGTATCAAACAAATAAATAATAGCAAATGACAAGTGGTCTAGCTGGTTATGGGAAAACAAGTTTGCACCAAGATGAAATAAGGTTGATTCATTAGGATATCTCAATAGCAGCCACAATATATAGCCAGACAATTTAGGGTTGTACCTGTATTTTCATAAAATGGACCTTCTAATCTTACTGTTATGACCTCAGACTCTGAACTTATTGGAAAATCTGACAAAACAACAAGAGGATAAAATATATCTATAAGTATTAAGTATATTTATAATTGTATTTACATAAGTCATACCTAGTGGTATTTTATTTTATTTTCAAATGCAAAAATGTGAAAAATGAAAAGTGAAAACAAAATGTTACATCTCAGGTTATTTTATTAACTATAAATATATGATTCCTTATAATTTCAAACATAAAACTGTTGGCATTAGCATTATATGTATTTAATTTAATAACCTTGACTTGCATTCCTTGAAATGGACACTAGTTTATAGCGCTTTTCAGTCTCCTTTTTCGAAATAAAGAAACCCTGCAAGTGAAAAAAAATGAAAATAAAAAACCCAGCCATAATTGACAAGTACAGTATATTGTAAAAAAATCCCAAATATCAACTAACTAGCTTTATTTTACTGTTTGACACAAATAAAAAGCTTAGACAGCTAACTCTTGCCTTGAGGACACACTATATGCTAAATCAATTTTTGTTGTTTAAAGAATGTTGTTATTTTAAGGATCTTACCGCACATATAATACACCACAGGAAAAGAAAAATGATTTTGAATGACTTCAGTCTTGACCTAGAAGGAATGTGCTCGATTATTTTGGATATAGTTTTAGGGGAGGAGAGGGCCAAAAGGGGGGAAGGTATATATTACTATGGGAGGGTGGGTAGGGTTTGGTGTACTTTCTGATCGGCTAGCTAAAAACTGAGCTGGAAAAGGTATATCCTTGCTACACATCAAACTGCATACCAGTACTTTCTGGAGCTCCTAATTAAGCCTGGTCCATATATGTTAGCAAGACGCCTGCGATTTCACTTCAGGTATTACCTGGAATGCCATTTTAAAGATAAAAAAACCTTTGTTGCTGGCATGCCTTTTGAAAGTTAAGTTGTCAGAGATCAAGTCTGTATCTTCAACGTTAAATGAATATGGGAACATAGTCTGTGGTCATGATTGTCCCTGACTTGCCTGTGATGTAAAATTAATATGGAAACACAATCGGAGGCCAACCTGCAATGTTTTAGGCCACTATATTGATGCAACAACATTGTAATTTTGGGTTCTTTTTGCCGTGCTGGTATTCCATTTCTAGCCTGACCACACAGGCTATTCCATGCATTTCCATCATTGTAATGGCATCCCAGGTAGTATCCCAGGTTGCATCGCAGATATGTTGCCAATTACATATTGGAACCATGCTTAACGTGCATATATCTTAAATGATCTAATACTGCACAGAGCACGTATCAAGACCGATTTAATCAATTACTAATGTTAAGATATAATAATATCCTAACCAATGGTTATAAATTAATTAGACATTAACTTACTTGTACTTGTCACTGCAACAAGGTGCAAATTTAACATCTTGTCCATTCTGATCTTGTGGCCTGGACAAACCTTCTAACAATGGTGTCTTTTCATCCATATCTTTAATATTAAAGCTAAGGGTTCTAGAATGTTGTGAATTTTTCAAAGATGGTTCCCTTGAATTCGAATTTACTCGATTTACTATATCTGTCTCTACATCATGAAAAATATCAGTTCCGCTGTCTTCAGGAGAATGAAATCTGGGGCTTGAGGTACTAGAAGTCTCCTTTTCCGGTTGCATTTATTTATCTTTCTCTTACTGCTGAAACCCTAAAATCTAAAATCAATGTTTTCGTGAGGATGACAGTCATGTGATCAAATAAGTTGACGTGACCTAATGACCAAACGTTTACAAAGTGAAAGATTCTGATTCTAGATAACCTTTTTAAAAAAACAATTTTGTGGTTATCTTTGACTCAATCTATGGAGAAGTAAAAACTAAAAAATAATAAAAAATCGCATCGAAAATATGAAAGTTTCTTGTTCATCCGCATGATTACCGATGATGAAACAGTGAAACAAAGGAAGCCCAACAAAAGAGAAAGTAATATCCCAACATGCGCATGACTAAAGCAGTCCCGACGCTTACCCCTCACGGGCTCGGTTGTCGAAGGGAAGTTCCATCCAACATGGCCGGTCAATCTTTGCTTAAAAAAATCTCAATATTTACTTGATTTATGGACTTTGTGGTCCACTGATTACAACCATGGACTTACGTATATCCGCTGATGCGGACATCAAGCGACTCCGGGAGATGGTTCAAAAGCTGGAAGAGAAAAATGCCGGTCTAAAAACACACGATAGTCCTCGACTGGGCCGTGAATCAGCAGCTAATACAGGAACTAGATCGTATACTAGTGAGAGAATGAATGCGAACCCTGTAACGTCCAGAGTGGCTGTCAAACTACACTTAGATGATGTACCACTGATGAATTTAAGTGATGTCGACTCTGAAGAAGAAGATAGCTGGTGAGACTGATAAAACTATATTAATATTGTCATAATTTTCTCAAATGTTTGTTGATATTTCTAATAATAAAGTCGATATTCTCTATGTTTTGACATTAACTGGTTAGTTTACTTAAGAACCATTTCTTGTTCTAGGGATTTGAGCTTATGTGCATATGAATGTAAAAACATTGTTTACAAAGAACGTCCTTCGATCATAGTTAATTTATTTCGTTAAAAATTAGTTGTTTCAGCAATTTGATTGTAGTGCGAGTTTACGTTGGACTTCTTTATACCCTCAGAAATGATTCAAAATTGGAGATTAAAAGAAACTTATGAACACATATTTGGCTTTATTAATGCCAGTTTTCATTGAAATACTCCAAAGCTAAAAACTTCTCGGGTATAACGTGTTAGTTAGAAACTTCTAGACGTATAGTAGGGCTTGTTGGGTACTATGGAAATGCAGAGATTTTTAAACAATGCTTACTTTGTTTATTCAGGCCATAACCTCTTAGGACAGTCATATTTGTGTTGCTGATTGACACTGCAAATAGCATTTAACTTTAAGGTTTATAAAAGCAGTCATTTATGTGTTGTTGAATGACTTTGTAAACTTGCATTATTCCATTTTTTTGAATATTGATGACCGGTGTTTTTCATTATTATTATTTTCGATGGATCAAAATCATAAAAATAAATGTTCCTTGAATTGAATTTTGAATTTTTAAGCTAAAATTATAACCCCAAAAAACTTAACTTCTTGCTTAATTAGTTTGCATAGAATAATATTTCTTTAAAGAACATACAAGGAAAAGTAACTTCATTCAAACAAAATGGACTACTGCTTACAGCAACCTCCAAATTTTTGAAATATTAGATTGATGTCTTTTCCCCCAGGCTGTATATGTCACCTGTCCACCCTCCGACTCCTGCACAGAAATCAGTCAGTCCTTATAAATACCTTAAAGGTAGCATAGATCACCAGACTGATTTAAACAGAGTAAGAGGCTCTCTTATGGCTAAACTGGAATCTATAGCAGCTCAAGAAGGTATTTATTCTCATCACTCAGCAGTACTGCATTGGAATTGTCATTTATTTTACAGCTCRACATGCAAAAGTATGACCACATTATAATGTATTAATGTATTGACATACTTCTATACACGTACATGGGCTTCGGTATGTTAAGCTGACACATTTCAATGTGAAGCTGCATGGTTTTACCAAATAAGATGCATAAAAGCTCGTTTGACAGCAAAAAGCCTGTGTATAGAAGTATGCGTAGCTCTGTAATTATTACTCTTTGATTTTTTTTTTTTTTTTTGTGCTGTTACAGTACTTAGTGGAAATAATGTTAAATTAGTGTTAAATTGTATTTTTATTGTATTAATACAATAAAAATAAGAAAATAAAATGATTTGGTTTTTGCAGCGGGAGGTAAACCAGAGGAGCTAGAGAAAACTCTTGAATCCAGGAGAGAGTCAACATTCAACTCTACTCATATGTAGAAAACTGAGTCCAGGAATCAAACCTGGGTCGCTTTGGTGAGAGGCGAGCACTCTCAATGCTTTGTACCCCTGCTTTCCTAATAATATTATAATGCTTTCATAATAACATTCTAATAAGCAACTTCGTTCTTGGAGGGTATGAAACATTATACCTTTTTATTTTACCTGCACCTGACTGCGAGAGAGCCATCACGTGGAGGGGCGGGCATTGGTGGTTTGGTGGGGGGGGGAAATTGGTTGAGGGACAGAAGAAAAAGTTCTATGTTGTTCTTTTGACCTTTGATCTGTCCCTGTCCGGCTGAATTCCTGATGCTCTGTTTTCGTGTGGCGGCTCTCTTACAAATATACACTCTCATATTTTTGATTTTGTTTTTAGAACTTTCAATTTACATATTTAGGATGATCTATTTTTTGCTTATTATATAGTCTCATATACACCTGGTTGCGGGAGGGTCGTCGCGTGGGGGAGGGTAGGGGGTGGATGGGGGGTTGGAGGGGGCATTGATGGTTTGGCGGGGAGGGGATTTGATATGTATATATATTTTACTATTATTTATTATTATTATTCTATTTTGTATATATTTTATCGAGGGCCACCTGAAAATTATCATTTATGGTAACGGTGTTACCCTGTCTAATAAAGTTGTTATTATTATTATTATTGGTTGATCATGCTATTTTGCTTCCCCACTCCCCCCTCTCCTCTTCAATTTCGAAACGACTAGTTAAGATTATAATGCAATATGGCTTCAATTAATTTTGTTCATTTATGGTTGTTCTTAGAGTCCATCTCTCGACATGATCATCAAGAGCATCAAACAAGGGACAGAAAATCATTAGATATGAACAGAACATATAATGTGGATGAAAGTACTATTAATAAAGATTTTGAGGAAGAGATTGACTTACAACCCTTGAATATTAGTGGCAGTGGCACTTGTAAGTGGTTGRACTCTTGTCTCCCATATCTTTTCATATTTTATCTTTCTATTTTTTTCCCATATCATATCTTGAAGTCAGCTTATACTTACTTGACAGGGAATTATTTTTCACTTCATTTAAAAGTAATTCGAAAAACTGCCATTGAAATGGAATAAAGTTTTGGAATACATGTAGGCCATCTGCATTTTRGCATCATATGCTTCCACTACCAGAGTCCTTTGTGCAATTTCTTTTGTTCAGTTAAATAATATTGTCTTGCTATTCTCAAAAGATAATAAAAATTAAGATAAGAAACAACATTCACAAAGAATTTTCTATAGTGATGCTAAAATGTCATGCAAATAGACAATTGGAAACAGGAAAGTTTTCAATCAAGAGTTAAAATGATATTATACGAAAGAATGATTAATACAGTATACAATAATGATTATTAAAAAAATTTTTTTACCAGATCCTATAAGAAGAAGAGGTGCACCAATGGGAGTGACTCCTTCTAAACCACCTCAAAGTAAGAATCTTCTGTTTATTTTTGTTTTATTTAAACTTTGCCTATGATAGGAGATCAATTTAAACCCACAACAGCATGGCCAATAATTACTGTGGACCTAATTATGATTTTCAATGTTTTATGTAATATGAGGTTGACATTCACCCTTTGTTATCACACCCAAGTGCTATTGTCTTTATTTAATATGTTTAATATTTATTTAACATATTTAAACTTTTTTTGTTTCTAATGACCAACAGCAAAGTTGTATAAAGCATGGGAAAATATTTCATTAGGAGATGATGACTTGGATGATGATGAAGAAGTTGATGAAGGTATATTCATCTTTCTTACCTGTGTTTGGTTCTTGGTTTTGTTCATTCATCCAACCATCATTCGTTCATTCCATCCAACCATTGTTCATTCATTCCATCGATCGTTCATTCCTTTCTTCATTCTCTCATTCATTCGTTCCTTTCTTTATTTGTTCGTTCCTTTACTCATTTGTTTGTTCATTCATTTGTTGTTGTTTTTGTTTGTTTATTTTTTTGTTTGTTTGTTTGTTCATTTATTACATATGTAATTTTTTTCAATATCTTTTTAAATTCATTTTTAAAATTTACTTTCAGCTCCTGTAGTAAGGAGAAGGGGAGCAAAACCTACAACGCCTGGGAGACAATCAATGCGTAAGTATTGTAATATCCCCTCATTCAAGGAGTATTAACTGTTACACTCACTTTTTTTATCAGTCAACCTGGGAGTTCTGGACTTTCCCATCTATATTGTTCCTATCAATAACAATGAACAATATCTGATCTGTGGTTCATAGGAGTTTTAGGAGTCACATCCTTTGTCATAATTAAATGACCCAGTCAACTGACTATAATTGAAGATGTCTAGGTCTTTGGCTCCTGTTTGTCAAATTTCCAGTGATCTGAATTAGCATTTTTGACTGATGGAAGCCAAAACCCTAGACTTCTGGGGAGGTGCTAGTTATGCAAATATGAAAATGGGTAAATAAATGATACTTATTCATTTGTCTCATGATTGAGGGTCATTTGTAGAGGACTGCAGCATTTTGACTGCAAACTGCTAGACTTCATCAGGGGATGGTGTAGACTGGATGGTGTGTCTCTTATATACCGCTCGTCGGATTATCTGCATCGTGATTGGATGATCGGATCATGTTCTTATTAGACGTTTTGTTGACGAGTCTCCACCCAGAGTGTTTCTTTATTGTTGGCATCATCACATCCATCCAAATGAAAATGGGTGTAATAATCATTTCAACTTTTTCTTTATATATATATTTTAGGATATCAAGATGAACAAGATTCTGGTGTTGTAAGACCAAGAGGATCTTCAAGTACACAAAATTATGATGATGAAGAAGATGATGATATTGATATTGAAAGCGGTAATTACCATACATACATTCTTGTTTGACCACRAAATATTTTGTACGTGGTTACAATAGAATTCAAGATGGCCACTTTATCATTAACCCTTTCACTACTACGCGGCCAACCAGAAATGCTACATTTTTCCTACAGTGGCCAAAAGCTGCCAGCAGAAATTCATTTTTGTTTTTCAATTATCTGTACCCTAGGACATATATTTTTCATTTTGATATTGAGAAATAAAAAACACCCTAATTATGTTCCAGGAAGAACCTGTGTTGGACACTTTTAGCCTCTAGTAGTGAAAGGGTTAAAAAGGTCTATTGATAAATGATCAATTTATAGGAATTATGTTTTAATTTGTATTCCCCTATTTTGTTAAATAGCTCCAGTTGTAAGAAGAAGAGGAGCAGGACCAAGACCTATTAATCCAACCGCTCAAAGCATTGCAAGTAAGTATAAGTACTTATCAAACTCATTAATAATTCATGAGGAAAATCTGTTACAAAACTGTGTTCATTTGCATAAACTTTAAGTTGGATTTTCTTGGCCAAATTCACTTTAATTTTGAAAATTTTAGTGAAACACAAAGGAACTAACCTAGATGTTTGATAAGTCACATGACTGTGAAAAGTTGGTGCCATAAACGTGCCATACTGTGACCCTGATGTTTTCTAGAATCTTAATTGGCTGGTTCTTTTCTCGTGAAATGTGATTGCTCTGACAGTGCTGTAACTTTTCCTCTGCTATGTTCATGCCATGTTTCGGGCATTTAATTGGATGTAGAGTAAATTCCGTGTTTGTGCCATGAGCTTTTCACACTCATATGAAAAAATGTTCTATCAGTCACTGTATAAATTGGTCCAGCACACTTACTTCATATCAAAGCCAAATTTTATTACAATTTCAACATCATGGTAGCGACGTAAAGTCCAGTTGCTGCAGAGTGTAGGGCAATATTGCTCATTTTTCTGCAACAATGCTGGTCATGTAGAGTTACAAAAAAGAAAAGTTTCCCTTACTCTCTATGCTTTTGATCATTCTCATATTAAAAAGTGCTAAAGTAATAAATTATTTTATTAGATTATTACGATTCTAGCAACCAAAGTTTTATTTTTTTTGGAACTCAACATACAATATCATTGTATTGAAGGTGCAAGGAAAATTTTGAAAGCTTAACTTCTTATAATACAGCTTCTTTACTGTTAAAGAGAAAATACTAAAACATTTTAAATCTGTTTTTTAATAGAAATGCCTGATGATGATATTCCTGTAGTTACCATGGTGAGGCCAAGAGGACAGTCACCACAGCAAAACTATGCAGCTAATCTTCCCAGCGATGATGATGAAGAAAGCAATGAAGGTAAAAAGTGCAAAAGTTGGAAAATAAAGTTTCTTAGGTCCAGTTGTTCACATCTTTATTAGCATCAAGCATGATAACCATGGCAACCAATAGCTACAATATAAAATCCAGGGTTATCACTCACTCTAGCTTTATCAAGTCATGTCTGGTGGCAGTGATATCCTACAATCACTGAAAATTTACAGGACATTTTGCTTTTCTTCAATAAACATATAGCCCCAGTTAGAAGAAGAGGAGCAGCCAGACAATCATTACCTCCCAGTAGAATAAGCACAGGTATAAATATTGTATAAATAAATATTTCCCTTTTTCAGGGCTTAAAATAGTGGCTGGACATCTTTAGCAAATTAGTTTTAGCTAGGTAATACCTCATTTCTGGCTCTCAGCATCGTTGCTGGTCATAGTGACTGGCAAGGAAATGACCGGACACGTTCCAACTCTGGCCAGACATTGTCTGATGCCCAGTTGTTATTTTAAGCTCTGTATTTGAGACCACTTTTCTCTTTCTTGAAAAGTATCCCATTGTTTACTGGTAATAAATGTAAATGTGACTCAAACAAGTACATGTATTATGACTCCTAAGGGAGTGATAATGCTCTAAAGTATAAAGAAATTGTACCTTCCCATATATCAGAACACAAATGATGGTGTAAATGATGAGGATGATGATGTCTTTGAATTGAAAATAATTGATGATGATGATGATTATGTAGATGATGATAATGATGTATTTGTAATGGATGTTTTATGATGATGGTGAGAATAATGATAATGATGCTGCCAGTGCTGCTGCTGCTGGTGATGATGATGATGATGAGGCGGATGAGGATGATGATGTATTTTACAAGGATTGCGTGAGTGATGTTGATGAAGATGGTGATGGTTTATTACTTATTCGTGTGTGGGGTTTTCTCTCTCTCTCAGGATCACCACAGATGGTATGGCAAGGAGATGATGATAGTGATAATTCTGGTCCAGTCCGTCCAAGGAGACGTGCAGCACCACAGAGTATATATCGAGATGATGCTGATGTTGAAGTTGACAATCAAGGTGTGTGGGTGTTTATTACATGTGTCCCTTCATGGCCATTGTTGCTAAAAGGATAAACGGTATCTTATATTAGATTACCGTAAATATAACATTGGCGCAGCTCAAAGGATCAAACTGAAACCATGTGAAGAAAATGCCGCTATATTCCATGTATGCCCCATCCCACACCACAGCTGTAATTAGTAGGAATTAGTTAGGAGAGGTTGAGGAAAAAAACCGAAAAACTAAGTAATAAAAAGGATCGAAAAAAACAAACTTAGTAGTTAGCGATATCAGCCCAAATGAGGATGGGGTCCATGCCGGAAATGAAGCCCATATTTACAGAGATTGAGGCGAAACGAATAGTGTGGTGTTAAAATGCCATTTCAGATTGTGTATCTATCTTATACTGCTGTCATTGTTCACTTTTTCAGCTGCTGTTGTACGAAGACGTTCACCCGCCTCTCCTAAGCCATCGACAGATGACAGCCTTGTCGTAACTGCAGGTTTGAAAAAGAATCTAAATTTCTACCTAAACGTGGTTATTGTAGGCAGAAAATATTCTGCTTATTAATAATGGTGTATATTTCCGTTTTCTCGTGTAGTTCGCCGCCGAGGAGCATCAGACAATCAAGTCAGACCACGTGGAATACCCACCCTTCAACAAGGAGGAATCCCAAGTATGTGCAAAAAAAAAATGATTGGCTCATTTTAGTCTTCCCTCTGCATTTATATATCTATAATTGGTATATTTCATTTATGTAGAGATATGTTGCTTGCGTAACAAAACTAAAAATTCGTTATAGTTATATGTACCTCAAGAATTATACTAGAAAACTTTGTTGAATTTTAAGAGATAAGTAAGAACTTAGCATAATACAAACAAAATTTTGTACACAAATATTTGGCCTTTTGTATTCAGCGATGCCGTTAGAAAGGTCACTGTGGTACGTTACGTTTTCCCTCAACCTTATGCAACGATTCTTCCTATCTATCTCTTTAGCGCCATCAAAGGGATCAAAGGCATCTCGATTACGCGTTTCCACTGATGCAGAGATCAAACGTCGCAGTTTACCACAAGTACCAACAAGCAGTCTACAGTACCCCTCATCTTATTCAGAAAATCTAATTCCGCCAGGTGCTAAAGCGAGAGTTCGTTCTTCTTCGCCTGCTGGAAGACTGGCAATGAAATCCGAGGCTCCTGTTGTACCTCGACAAAGTAAACTAGTAACCCCAAGGTATTTGTCCTCAGACTTAATATGCTTTGTTCATTATTTATCTAAACTAAAACTCTACGCGCAAAGAATTGCCCTATAACACTATGACGTCACATCAAAACAGACTATTGTTTTARCGCTAAGAATTATGGTTGCTAAATGGGGAAAGGATGACAACGACACAACAAAACGACACGATAAAATTGAATTTACAAAACGTAGAAGGAAGGAAGGACAACATAATATCATTTATATCGAAGGATAAACATTGACACAACATATATGGAAACTAGACAATTTAAAACCAAAATTTCGTAGAGAAGGAAGATTTAGTCGAAATTTCCTTTGTTTAATCGATTCTGTCCCCCACTGTAAATATGCTGTGACGTCATATTGTTATAGGGCAATTGTATGTCAAACTTTTTGCCAAAGACGTATCCGCTATTAGTGTACTATAATTGGTAAAAACAATTGGGCTGTGCTATGATAGGTCGAAATCCCTCTACATCTCATTCCATAGTGACTCCATCTTACGTAGGGATGCAACTCTTTATTAAATCATTTTCTCTTTTATTTCAGACGAATCCCAACACCGCGAGCTTCTAATTCATACTACAGTACTGGTAACGACCAGAGTTGGCAAGATGGCTGCTACTAAAATATAAATGATTTTATCAGCTGTTCAAGTGCAGTACTTCAAGTACAGCTCACCAAGAAAATCGCCTCATTTGGGTAAATAGTGCGCAACGAATGGTTTAAGAAAAAAATAGGACATGCCTACGAGTTCAAGTTGAGTTCAAGTTGGTTACGAAGAAAATGGAGGTCATTCTTCAAGTACGATCAATCCTCTTTAGTAAGGAAGGGAGGGAGCCTAGTGTCCCTATTTGAAAGGTAGCCTTACTTAATTAGTGAATAAGTGCATTCTGGATTAAGTGCCCGTATATAAGAAGGTTGTCCGTATTATGGAGGTGTCCGTACTGAGAGAGAGTTTCGACCGTGCTTTTAGTAGTTTAAACAATCTTAGTCACTAATGAAAAATAATTCTCAGCTTTTCAAAAAAGAGTAACGTTTTAAATTAGTTACTTAGATGAAAGGCATCAAAGAAATGCGATGAAATATTTAATTCGTAGTACGTTTTTAGCAACAATAGAATTTTTTTAAAGACAGAAAGGGAAATAAGAAACAATCTTAGTTCCCTGCTAGCAGAGCCTATTTTCCCTTTGTTTTGGTTGATAGACTCTGCCGATGTAGGACTTCCTCCCCGCCTGAAAGAAGGGAGAGAAAGAGAAGAGAGACTCTGCTAGCAAGGAACAATCTTAGCTACTTTTACCTAGAACTGACATATAGTTAAATAGTTATTTTGTACATTGTTATTTAATTTTGATGTCGTTAAACAGTGCTATTATTAAACAAATTAGTTCCCAACAAACGATATAATCAAACCCCCCCTCTAGGGGTAGGGGTGGCTGAAGAAGCATGTTCAGTAAAACCTGAGTGAAAGGGTACCATGACCTCTAATATATTAAGATTAAATATGCTTTCGTGAGCGTGAGCAGTTATCACGATGAAATAAGGTTTTGTTTAAGGCTTTTAACGAATTTTAGAAAGTTGCGTTGTGTCCCGTTCGTTGTTTTTTTACCACAGGGTTCCCTCTTAAAAATGCGTCCACAAAAAAAAGCGTTTTAAAGACAACACAAACAAATATTTGTTGTAGTGGAAGACTTTGCTCTTCACTTGTGGCAGACCCAAAATTATTTCAAAGTTTATTTGTTTTGTTCTTGTTTTTCATCTTTCTTTTACCAATAAACGGATTTCAGTAATCGATGAAACCCGTGAAATTTGTGCGCAAAAATATGGCGTCACATTTAAGAAGCCAGACATATAATATTTGTTAAATGAATTTTTAAGATAATTATTTTATATAAGCTAAAAGTGCATGGGTGTTAGAGAACCATAATGTTTTACTTCAATGCCAGTTTTGTTATAACACGACTGAGAGCCAAAGTAATTTCAATAAACCTCGATATTTCGATTTCAGAAATAGAACCCAAAAGAAGGTATTATTTTAATTACTGATTTGGTTCTACCGGGGATTACTGAAATGACGATAAAAATTAAACATTGAGAAATAAGAGGGTTTGTAACATTGGCTTAGGGAAGCGGGCGAACACCATAGTCTAAAATTCTTTTTCCATTTTATCATAGACTAGGAAATTATTTTTCACACGAAAAATGGAAAATTTGGGAGTTATCTTATTAAATGTTGGAGTAACGAGCGAACTGAGGTACTATACAAAATTAAAAATTAACCTAAAGCAAGGATGACTGTTAAATATGGTTTCCTTTCTTTAGAATTAACATGGTGCCAAGAAAATTTATCTCACGAATCTTGCTACGCCAATGGTTTGTAAATATTGTTTGAAGTGTTAGCACTTGCCAGCAACATTGGCCTGGCTGCACCTCAATTCGAGTATTAGTAAAATAACGACTACCTACGAAATAAAGAAACATTAACGACAAAGTGTTTATAAAGTCGTCTTGTAGAAGGTGTGTTAATCATACTTTATTTCATCTAATCTGCACCTGTGCTCCTCGTTATGTTAATATGCTGCCCTGGGCGTATTTAGAATTTTTCAGGGAGGAGGTGTACATGTACGTTAATGTCGTCGGAATGCCGAATGCCAATGCTTGGGAGAGATGTTTTTCCATGTCAGACAACGTGTCATTTCCTTGAGAATAAGATTGTTTGTTTGAGTTGGATTCATATCCATGTGTCTCTCGTGTAAATCATTAAACAAAGAAATAATATCCTAGGGATTGACAAGTGGTCTGAGATGGACAGGGCGGGAGGAGAGAGTCTCTGGATATGGCCAACATTTTATGCCCAAGCTAAATATGATAATCTTTATTGCGAAGTCCAATTTTCTAGCCACCCTTTGCCGTTTGGTATAAGCATTTCAGCTTGTGACGCCAAGTTAAACATTACTTAAAATTTGGTACCGGAACTTTTAAATAGAGGGCCAAACCAAGATACCATTTTACCCGGGTCATTTGCATAAACATTTTTGGCGCCAAAAGTAACTGCGCCTGCACACCAAAAGACCAGCAGAGGAACACAAAAATCAAAATGGCGTCTTAGTTTCTGCATGAAAACAAAATACCTGAAAATTATGGAGATATTCTCACTGAGGAGCATAAAAGACGTCGTCTTTATACCTTAAATGTAATCCTTACTCTATTGACTCATGGCTGACGAAGAATTAAGCGCCGAAGACCTTCGGGAGAAGTTGTTTCATACGTTCCGAAATCGCGGTGTCCTTGATTCTCTTAAGGTTTGTTTATGAGAAACATAAAAAGTTTGAAGAAGAAACTGTCATTAAGCCATAATTTTGATCATTTCTGCTAGGATAGTGCATTAATACCAAATTAGAAAACAAATAATGTAAAATGACTTTTAAAATTATAAAAATAAGGGTTTTTGTACTACTGTACACTGTATAAAAGCTAGTACACATCAAGAGTTCAAAACTAGAGCCCCCTCTTGCGTTCCTTCTTTCTTTCTTTTAGTCTCAGTTAAGGAATCGTTTGGTGACTGAGCTGCAGCAAACAGCCAAGGTTAATCTTTCTAATGGCAAAAAAAAGCCCCCAGAAGAATCATCTTTGTTCTATCATGCAGCCAATAGTCTAGTGGTTGATCACTTAGAGAGATGTAACTTTGAGTATACACTGTCTATTTTTCTTCCTGAGAGTGGAACCTCTAAAGACAAGGTAAGAATGATTTCTAGTGCTGATATCTAATTTATAATGTGTGATAGTTGGGTTAGTGGAGGGGAGAHAACCCCTTGAATGTGATGTCAAAGCAGTTCAATTTGGAGGACAAAACRAAAGAATTCAATCTCCTGTGATCTGAATTGGATCCCTTTTGTCATGTCCTCCGAATTGAGCTGCATTCCGACATACTGCAAGGAGTCTATAGAGATATTGATATGTTGACCAGAGCTCTATTACCTTTTGAAACAAAAAGGGTTTATTTGTGTCCTGACATCAATGTTTGTAAACTGTGAATGTTGCTATGGCGATAGGAGATTCTTGAACCGAATTGAATTACAGAGTTGATAATGGGATACTGATCAAGCTATCTGAGAAATTCATCTTAAAGGGTTATGGGATATTCAGTTCCCATTCAAATCGCACTTTCATTTACCCTCAAATAACGAGAGGATATTTTTGATATCAAAGTAAACTTTGTTTAGGTATTGATGTCATATTTCAGGCTGACTCTCCCATCATGTCATAGATCATTTCTGTAGTGTATAACTTAGCTTATTTAATTGTTTTTCAGCTGTTGACAGTTAGAGACCTTCTACATTTACTCAAAATTGACAAAGATTCTCAATTATATAAATCACTGGTAAGTGAGTTAAGATGCATTGATACATGTGGGACACAAAAGTAAAATGATTCCAGGACTTTGGGTCATTTGTGAAGAAAGTTGGTTTCCCCACCCTCCCACCCCAGCAAAAATCAACCTCTAAATTGGAATTGGAACTCTGCAGAACCACTATAAAGTCCCATTTTATTTCATTTTTTTAAATGTTTGCCTCTAACTGCTGCCTAGATGAGGTACATTAATAAAAATAATAATATTTTTTAGTACTTATTTTGTGCACATTTAGCACTTATTACAGTCATACTGTACGTATGATAAATGTGCAGTATAACTGTATACATCTCAAAGAGAATTCATAACCTTTTTTGTTTTATAGGAATGTTCTTTGTCTAGCAAGATCAAATCCAAAAGTAAGTTAGTTAACTTTTGTTTCCAAAAAAACTGTTTTAAATTTATAACTTAAAACAATTCCTGGGCATAGTATTGAACTGGATCCATAGTGTACCAAGTATATAGGAAATGAAAGCGATTTCAGTTCTTAACTTAACAGCCAGAGACAGGAGAGCCTTGCATRTTATAAAAAACAAAATAGGAATTAGGAGATTAGTTGCCTATTGCTAGGCCTGTCGCTAGGGGTGGTTCGATGGTTCAAACAAACCTCCCCCCTCCACCTTTGTAGGAGTAAGAAATAATGTTTAGCGCTATTTTAGTTTTTCAAGAAAAGGCAAAGCTAAGTTTGGTAGAAAAATGAAAAGTTATTGTTACTTTTAAAGACCAAAGGTAAAGTTTTTCTTCCAGGTTAACAAACTGTTTAAAAATGGACCAGTTAACAGCCAGACTGTCAAATTACTTTTTTAACATCAACAGGCTTTCTTTGGGAAATAATGTCACAGCTTCTATCCCAGCATGGCCAAACGACACAGAGTAGTATGGCAATACAAACAGAGGAGTCTGCTTCTATAAGATCTCCATCTATTGGTATGTCTTTGTAAAATACAACCATTTGTGATGTGTGATTCTGGCCAATAAATTGAACCCAATTGATTGAGGTTAACAAAATAATTAATGTGGTTGCTTATAGATATTGTATTTTTTTTTCTTCTACATGTAAGCTGAAAAGCTACAGTTTATTGATCAAGCTTTCTCAGAACAAGCTGAAAAGGAAAATGAAGCATGGGGTTCACAAGCAGAACAGAAAATAGCTGAATTCCAGAGAAAATATGACGAGAGAAAGAAAGCTGAACTAGAGGCAGAGGTGTGTACTGTACATGTACACTGTAAATGTAGCTGTAAGGGAAACTACGTAGCAAAATATTGAAGCCATTACAGCACAACACCAAAAGTATGACCACATCTAATGTATTCGTATACTTCTTTGCATGTACATTAAACTGACGCATTTCATTGCAAAGCTGGCTGGTTTTACCAAATGAAGCGTGCAAATACTTGTTTGGCAAAAAAAAGCCAGTGTATAGAAGTACTGTATGCAAATACATTAAAATGTGGTCATACTTTTGCACTTTGCTCTGTAAGCATATCAAATTTCAATTTACAATTAATATTACAATTAACTAAGAAAGCTTAAAAAGAAAGTTATTTGGTTTTGATTTGGGTTTATTTTACTAAGATCAAGCAATACAAGGCTTCAGCACTTGCAAGCATGCGCCTTGAAGAGAAAGAAAGATTTCAAAGAGAAATAAAGATAGCCAAAGAACAGGTGAAGTACAGTGTTGCCATTCTATTTGTATGTGACAAATTATCTTTACCTACATGTACATGTTTAAATTATTTAATATTAAATTAGCCTGCTTTGCAGACTTGATTTTTATTACACTCRGAAATCTTGCCAAGAAATACTTTATTTTTAAATATTCAACTGTTTTTTGGTGAGTTCTCTGAATATAACAAAGTTGAGTCTGCAAAGCAGGCTAAAATTTAATAAGAACAATACGTTTCCCTTGTCCATTCATTCCTCCCCTTCCTTTCCTTTCTTTCCTTCTCTCCACTCCTCCCTCTCTCCCTGTCCTTTTTTTTTTTCTTTTCCTGTTTTCCTATCATAGATGCAATATAATAAAAAAAATCAAACTCCTTAAATAATGGTCATGTTTTAAATCAATAGATGGAAAAAGATTATTCTTTGAAGGCTGAAATGTTACGATTAAAAGAAAAGGAACTTACTGATCTACAGTACCGACAGCAAAAGGTAAATGATTGTTTATATAATATATAAATTCCAACTTAATCTGTGAGCTACTGTAGCTGTTCTCTGACTTAGATCAGCCTAAGGGCTGTTTAAGACAAGATCAAGGAGGGTCTAGCAGTAATGAATTCACCTCTTTGGGGTTTTGGGTTTGTTTCCTGGATTTGACATCACATAATATGAGTAGAGTTTTTTGGGTCAATCTCCTTTGATTTTGTTCTTGAAATTTTCTCTTGGTTCTTCAGAATTACAGTATAATTTCCTCAACTTACTTTATTTGGATTTGATCTGTTAGTAGAGTACAAGTAGAGTTTTTTTAGGTCGATCTCCCTCAATTTTTTTCTTGAGTTTTTCTCTGGGTTCTTCAGAATTACAGTATAATTTCCTCAACAAACTCCATTTGGATTTGATCTGTTAGTACACGTAGACTGTGCACTGACTTTGATCAGCCAAGATATTGTTTCAGGGCTCAATAAATTTGATTTATCATTTTAGATATCTTTTCTTTTTTTTTTTTTTTTTCAGATTCAAGAGGAAGAAGCATATAGTCAGAGACAAAATATCCTTCAAGAAATGCAGACAGCAAAAGATCAGGAAAATGAATTCAAGATGAGACAAGAACTTCACTTAAAGTGATAATATTATTTCATTCCATTTACCATTTCAAGTCATTTCAAATGCATATCTTTTAATTACCAAAAATGAGGTAGACACCACAATTTATTGACTGCAATTTGGCCAGCATGCAAATTTGGCATCAAGGTCTAGATTAATGGATTTCATTTTGTTGTATATTTAAAAGCATTTGATTTTTCTACTCTTGAAAATGTTTTTATTAAATAAAGAATTGATATACAGGACTATACAATTAGAAGAAGAAAGGCTTAAGAATGAAGCTGAGAAAATTAAAACCAGGGAATTMGCTCTAAAAGATGAGGAAAAGAGGTGTCATCAGAAAATTGAGGATGAAATTCAAAGGTAGGAACCATGTGTTTTGGATAATCCAATCTCGGGGCACAAAATTAACACTTGCAAACTTGCAAAATGTGGGTGAAATTTTGTATTTAGTTAGTGACAAAAGATCTAACTAAGTTTTGGGAGTATGACCATAGTCCAGAAATTGAAGGACTGAAAAGTTTGGAACCCACATCAAGTAAAGCTTGTTATTCACTGCATCCAATAATGCTAGTGACTTTGAAATGTTTGCCTAATGAGAACAAAACTTACTAGCAAGGTTTTGCTAGTGGGCTTAAAAGTTAATTGTGTGTCCTGCAATCGTAGGACTACATGTATAGTGGAATATAGATGAAGTAATTCATGTACTAAGATCTCTTGGTTAAAAAGAATGGCATCTTGTTTTTGTAACTTAGATATAAATTGCAACACCAAGAAAGTTACCAAAAAAGACTCCATGATCTAGAATTAAGAGAGGCCCAGATAAAACGTAAGTGTGTTGCAGGGGTAAAGTTTTTTGATATCACATAATTTAGTGTGAGGTATTTGTGTTGCTCTCTACTGCTGAATTTCGAATGAATTTACTCATCTGATAAATCAGCAATAAGCCTTTCCCTCTTACATTTACCCTGACCTTCCAAGCTGCTTAATCATTGTACCCTTTCTCTGCCTTCAGTAGGTAACTACATGACCATGCCTTCAATTAGTAATTTTTTCGAATAAAGAAGGCTGATGTTTCCATGCCTTGACTTTAAAAATTAGATATTTACTGAAGTGTCTGGTCTTTCTAGCACTTTCACACTAATTGGAGACACTTTTCACTAGCACACACTACCTCTGCATTTGATGTTCTGTTCTGACTCTCAAAGAACCCTCATCATTTAGGAAGCTACATTGTATAAACCTATTTTTGCATGTAGAAGATAAAGAAAGTTTTGAGAGAAGCAAATCAACCTACATGGGATACTATGATGAATTAGAGGGGAAAAAAGAGCAGCTGAGGCAGATGCAGGTGTGTGTAAAACTACTATCAATAGGAAATAAGGTATTAAATTACTCCAGGGTAAGTATTGCAACATCATGGTAAAGTTGGGAAGGTTTATGTTCCTTGCACTATATTTTTGGTTAAAGAAAGCAAGGCAAAAAGATTTTTAAAATAAGTTTTTATAGCAAGACTTGCATTTTAGTAAGACCTGCATTAAAAGACCTAAAAGTATGACCACATTTAATGTATTTGCATACTTCTATGTAAATGCTAGTTGAAGAAAAAAAATTTCCCCTGAGAAACTGAATTCTTTCACATGTAAACCAAATTAGACCAAATTAGACCAGATTAGACCAGATTCAGTTATTCCTGCCTCCTGTCATGGTTGCCATAACATAATGATGCAAAGCCTGTATTTAGCAATTTCTGGTGAGGTTATCAACTTACTGAAAAACGTATTTGAATTTTAGAATCAGTTTGAGGCAGCCAAGTACAACATTGCTACTCTCCAGCAACAAAAAGACACACTGCTACAGAAACTAGATGAGGTACAGTTTTTTTAAGTGCTCTTTAGAGACCCTTTGTTATTCATTCACCCATCCCCTCCCCACCTGTGACTTATGAGCGATTAAAAACATACTGCAAATCACATCTCCATAGACTTGTATAACTTTGACAAACAGTAAAATTTATTTTATTAAATAGTACTCAGATGGAACCCAGGGGCTTAAAATAATGGCCGATCAGTCGCTGGTCATGATAACAGGACAAATTAGTTTTAGCTTAGTCATAGGCAAAGATTTGAATGGACAAGTCCCAGTTCAGGCATTGTCAGATTTGTCAAGACAATGGATATCCTCAAGTGATAGAGAACGTTTGCCTAACATTATACCAGTGATACTGACCTATCCTGCTTATAACCCAATACATCTTAATGCATAGGTAAGGGACTATAGAACAGTAAAAGATAATGAACAAATGTTACGAAAAGAGAAGGATGAGCTACAGAAGTAAGTACAAAAAGGATTATTGTTTAGCATTTAATTCTCTTCAATCAGAATACAAGAAAGCTATTATATGTTGGGCTTTATCTTCCCATAGTTTGTACATAAGGTTACTGCAATTCAACAAAAAGGTATTTCTAATTCACAACTTTTTTCCTTTGATAGTCGTCTGGAAGAACAAAGCAACAAAGACAGAGGTACCAAGACCACAATCAAATCGTTTATTTTTACTTGTCTTTTATATTAATTTTGTTGTAGTAATCAGGGGATAGCAGGTGTCCTAGGGCTGGGGGAGCGAGGTCAAAAAATGATGATTTGAAAAGAAAGATAAAAGGGATAGGTCTTCTTTGCTTTGGGTTTTTTAGTTACTTGGGGCTTTTCTGCTATCCCATCATAGCATAAAATATAATTTTTCTTTCAATTTCAACTTTTTAAAATGAAAAATGAAAAATAAAATGGAAACATCAATTTTCTTTTTTTTGGGGGGGGCCATCCCCACCACTCCCCTTGACTCCCTTGCTTGTACCATTGACTTTAACTAGAACCTAAATATGTTTACAGTTAATGAAGAAACCATAAAAGAGTTGAAAGAAAAACTATCAAAACCTTCTGCGGAACTGGTAAGTCTAACAACTCTCAAGTTCAAGTCAATAAAAAAACTTAACAAACTCTACTCGCATGAGAGTCCAGAGACAAGACCAATACCACTTCATCCCCTTTGATTCAAAACTAATTATAATGTAATTATCAGGAGGCGCAGAGACCAGGGGGGGGGGGGGGGGGGGTTTTGTGGTATAGTCCCTTCACCATCCCCCTGCCCCCATTTTACCTTTTCCTATACTATAATCTCTAATATTTTCCAATCTGATCCTGCCCATTTTTTCCCATAGTAGTCTCTTATTTCCCAATCTTGGCCCACACACACACTTTTTAGGCTGGTCCGCGGTCCTTGATTATTTGTCACAAGAAGATGTCATCGTTCTTTGTCTAATGTTTTTGATATTTCAAGGTTTCGGTGCGTAACGAATTAAAGGCGGTCAAAGACGATACCAAGAATAAGGAAAAACTACTTAAAGATAAACAACGAAAACTTGAAGCTAGATTACAACAGGAGGTAAAAGCAGGTTTCGTATGAGTGTGTAACCTGGTCCTGACTAACGACATAAGCGTTCCGTTCTTCTTATGCTTGTGCTTGTGCTTATGCTTCGCTGAATTTCCCAGTGATGATTTACGCTCTTATGCTTATCAGGCTCGTAAGAGCTCGGCACGTTAACGGTATGGAATATTGACGATATCATTTGAGTCAATCATAGCGCGCGAAATCCCTGCTTGCCAATGAAAATGCTTAGTAACGTTACCGTCACGGTCACGACACACAATACTGTCACGGTACGGAATTGACGACATCCTTTAAACCAATCACGGAACACTGACTTCCGGGTCTTAAATGAGAGACGATGTTTTTCCTTTGTGAAATAATTCGTTATACAAAATCATAATTGTTGCGCTCTGGTTGGAGAAAAACCGTATATCTGTACTTTTGCATTATGCTTCTCCGTACTAGATAACTTCAATACAGAAAACAATTTTATATTTTCTTTTTCAGAGTCAACGGTGTGCTGAATACCAAAGACTCTATGAAGAACACTTACTAAGACAAAAAGAGATGGAACACGAGCTAGATGACCTTAGAGCTGCCTTACACCACACCCAAACATGTTAGTAATATTAGGATTTTCTAAGAGTGCCTACCATATATTTATTTTTTCAAGGAATAGTCCCTTTCACAGTTCCCTGCGCCATCTTGAAAGGTAGCCATGCCCTTGCATCGAAGCAAGATGAACGGTAAGCATGCAATGATAGAGACCTTTTTTAACACCTTGGACAATTATTCACATGTCTCTATCATTGCATCGATGCAAAGATGGCGCAAGGAACTTTGAAGGGGACTATTAAACATGAATACTCAAGGCTTTTTGCAATAGTTTCGTCAACTACGAACAACATTGAATATGTCAATACAAATCTCCTTGTTTTGACGAGAACAATAATAAAACACGTCAGTCACTCCAGCTATTCTTGGATCTAGAATGACCAATGATCTATCTGCCATCTGCTAATATCGCCGTATATAAAATTTCTCGTAATGTCACCATTGAGTTTTGTTTGGGGACAGTATTGGGCCTCGGTTTCTTGCATATATTGATTGATTTATTTGCATGATTTTCTTCAGTCCTTAGGATGGAACTGGAACGCAAACGGATGAGCGAGGCGTCAGTGTGAGTATTCAATTTCCATCGCAGTTTGTTTTTCATTTATCAACTCCTTTAACCTTTGCATATGTGACATCATGCATCATGTATATGTGGTGGGTATAATATTGGACGGACTAGTATGCTGTCAAACCTGGAGATGCGTGCTTGTTATACGAGTTTATGGCTTGAGGATGACTTCATCTTCTCAGTCTTGTATATAAATGCTTGCACCTCAATTACTGAAAACTTAGAAAACACGCACGCGTTGTGTGTGCAGCTATAAAGCATGCGTGGGGTGGCAGAATACGAGAGAAGTGTTAGGGGAAGTAATTCTCAAGTGTTCTGCTCCCCAAGTGCTTTATAATTGCACACAGCCCAGCAAGCTAGTTGTTTGAATGACGAAATAGAATGTGCGCGCATGTGCTGTGTGCTCTCATAATGCATGCGCCTCAAACCATTCAGAACGCAAGATTAATAACAGTCATTCTATAGTGCAGATTTTTGCTCAGCTCAGTGCTGCAATCGCGTGCATGAAGCATTATGAGGGGATTGGGATAGGGAGCAATAGATTTGCAATGGCAAGTAAGCATTATGGGAAGGTTAGGGTAGTAGAATGAGCACTTGTTTCATTTTTGACAGGTATTGCGGTGAACAGAGCAAGCAATGCAGTCGCAGTTATTAATYGAAAGATCAGTTTGTCACACTTCTTCGTTTGTTTATCGATGTAGGTCTGATATACACGATTTAACTTTGCCCAGCCCTCCCGTCGAGCCAATCCCAGCAAAGACTTCAATTGCGTTTGCCCCGAGAACAAATCAACAGGACTCTGAAACAAATAGCTTCATGAATGACACAGCAAATACGCAGGAGCTGATCGCTAATACTAAAGACATTTTTGATAAGCTGGAAAAGAAAGCAAAGGTAAAATATACTTTAAGCCTGGTTTTTTCATTAGCAAAGCAAACAAGCATAATGATACAGCTATAAACAGGTTGGTGAAGGTTTTGTTGCAGCTGCATGCTGCATCTTGCATGCTGCATCTTGCTTACTAAGCTTGAAATGTTTTATATTCATATGTCAAAGAATCTCAGCACAGAAGGAAATATGCAGGAAAAACATGGATATAAAGTTTAGGAAATCATTATATCGTTGTGACCTTTTGCTTATTGAATTCACATCACCCATAGTGCAGTTTGGTCTTGATATGCAATATGCAACAAGACCTTCACCAACCTTTTTTTTTTTTGAAATAGCTGTATACGCAAACTGATTGTTTTTTTCTACCCAAATATAAAGGGGTTTACTAACTCGAAGGACTGCGTTTGTATATGTCAGTTTTCGTTGTGCGTCGTGGTGGAAACCAGGCTTAATGACCCATTTTCTATTTGATTTTAGCTTATTAGTGTATAAYTTAAAAGGCGCTTTCAACAATAATGTTTCATTGTTAATGACAGTAAACCTTTTCAGTTTGGGTGTCATGGTTCCCATTCTAGATCATGCCATTCCCTTCCTTGTTTGAATGTATCTTCTCGAGCCTTATTGGTAAACAATACTCAAGAAAATGACACGTGATCTGGGTAAAATATTGCTGACTTACAATCTTAAATTGAACAGGATTTCGAAGAATCATATCGGCGTTTTCAGTCACGTATGAAGAACACAGGACTGGACCAGTTTACAAGCTTGCCTCCGGTGTCTTTGGACCGACACACCTTGCAGGGATACCCAAATCGCCAGGCAGAAATCATAGACCCACATCCTTCATTAGGGAAAGATACGAATATTGATAAAGCAGGTAAGACTAAGGTCAAACTTCACATGAGCCGAACCTAATGACATCGAAAACACCGTTTTGTTATCCGTTGTTTCAATTACGTTCGGCTCGTGTGAAAGTCGACGTTTGACCTGAGTGTTAAAAAAGTGTCTTCTCTTCTCTTCTCCTCTCCTCTCCTCTCCTCTCCTCTCCTCTTCTCTAATTAACTTCACAGATATTGCACACAGTTTTATTGACAACTTTCAAATCTTTTATTCTTTTATTTTACACATTGATCCATCCATCAATCTAATTTTTCATTCTTTTTTTTTATTATTATTATTTATTTATTCACTGATTTCTCATTTCACTCATAATTCAATTGAGATCAATCAAACAATTTTGTAATTATTTGCTGGGTCTTACTTGACGTCATTTTCTGTCTTGCGGAATTTTTCATCCTCTAAATCGCAAGTTTTCAATAAAAATCTTTCTGGCTGACTTTACATGGTGGTCAGTGTTTGACCATCACTTGGAGGAAATAATGAGATTCACAGACTCTTATTGGCTGATTTAAACTCAGCAATAGTCATTCCGCTTGCTTTAATTATTCTATTCTTTATAGACGAGTTTGTTCCGCTATCATGGATACCAGTCACCGAGAAGAACGCTGCTAAAATGCCCGAGTCTCACGTTACTGGTGAGCATTTGGGTGGTTCTCTCGATCCTTTACATTTCCCCTCCTCTCTTCTGCCCTCCACAAGACGAGGCAACAACACCGACAGCCTTACGAGATTCTATTCGCTGCCATCTTTTGGTGTATCAGAAGTCACGCAGAACTCTTCAGCCCCTAGGTAGGATTTTAATATAACAGAAGTACAAAAACATTTGATTTGATTTGATGGAACCCGTTAAAATGCTTGGGGGAGGGGAGAGGCTAGAGACTAAATTCCTTTCCTATAAGGGTAGTTCTACTTAACTTTACCATTGTTTTGGATAAGTTTACACAAAATGCAAAAGTGCTAGGGGGATGGGGATGTCCCCATTCCGAGTGGGAATAAGGGAGGTTCTTCTTTCCTTAAGAGTTTAACTCTACCATGATTTTGGTTTCAGGTTAAAATCATGCAACAATATTGTAACAGTATTTGTGTATTATCTATGGGGGGGGGGGG